ACACCTTGTTAAAAGATCGGGAAAGTGCGGAAAGTTCAGAAATTTTTGATGAAAATGATGGGATGATGTTAAAAAGTACGAATCAAAGGTGAATTAGCAGTTGTGCTTACTTTTAAGAGCAACAGAAAAATCTATGTGAGAGGTGTTACGTAAGAGAATAAAGTTTCACAGCTTTCAAAGAAACGGTTGGAGCTTGAGGCATTTTGTTTCCTAAGTTGGAGAATGATGATAGAAATTATTTTGAGACGATTCTGAGCGGTAATATTCAGAGAGGAAGGAAAAAAGTGCGAAAATTCGAAAAACCGGGGGGTCACTTAGGAACAGGTATGACAAAAGGTTACCTGGGGACGCAGCGATAGGAACTAATTGGATAAAAAGTAGCTCCAGTCTCACTAGATAGGTCAGGGGAGATGATTAATATGAAGTGGAGGTGTAAAAATTAGTATATTGAAAAATCGGTAGATGAGTCCAATAAATGACAAAAATTAGTGGAAACAATTTAGTGGAATAAGAAAATATACATATAATATAGATAAATTAGGTATCAAAAGATTCAGCTTATCAAGCTGCAACTAATGGTAACAGTTGCAAGCAGTAGAAATGGAACAGGAACGAGTAAATAAGAAAAAACTGTAAAATGTTATGTTTTCGGTAGGTTACTAGGAATTAACAGGAGAAAATCGACAAATTAAGGAATTGCTTGGCGAAATGTATCTCAAAAGAACGCTTTCAGTGGGTAGTAACACTGAGTAAAAAATGGTAATGAGAGATTTAATAGTTCAGACGTTACAGATGAAAATGTAAATTTCAGAGGACAGGGTCTAGAGGGGGTTAGGGTTAACTTTAGAATAGTGATAAATCAGGATAAAAAGACCCGGTTTTTTATATAGACTACGCTAATTTGATGAAAGTAAGTTATTAAAAACAAATACAAGAACTATTGTTACGAAATAGTCCCTAAATTAGAGATAATAGCAAAACACAAAGACGCCAATTGGGGTGAGTTATAGAATTTGTGAAAAACAATAGTTAAGTGGAAGAATACCACTGGAATAATATTAACTAGGTGAAATATAACGCAACACGCCGGAAAAATGCAGGGACTCACCAAATTGCACCTGTAATATCCGATAAATTATAGGTCCACAACCTGCATCCAATATCCAATATCGTTTTTGCGAGCTAGTATAAACCAATTTGATTTCTTTGTGCTCGCCTCTTGATTGTGAGGTAGAGGTTCCTGATCTTCGGTAAACGTCTGCGTGGCTCGTCCCGCCACTCGACTGCCGTAGCTTTGGTTGACTCCAAAAGGAGTAGTGCAGGGATTAATTATATGTGGTTTGTAGTATGAAGTGTGTTAAGACTGTTACTACTGTGAATGGAGTTGATCCTTTCACCAGTTGGTCCTTCGGTATAGTCGTCAATAGAAAGGAGATAATAATATAATAATAGATATAATTAGTAAAGGTATTCAGACTAACAGACATAAAAAGAATAAGAAAACGTAACAACAGTCAGTCAACCGGTATATATATATATATACCAGTAATAATAATAATAATAATAATAACAATAATAATAATAATAATAATAATAATAATAATAATGGTGTAGTTAAAGGTGTCAGGAGAGTAAGACTGAAGAGAATGTGAAGAAGTAAAACGACCAGTTTAATTGTCTACCTTTGAATGGTGTATGCGATTTTAAGGGGATAGGCCATTTGGATGAAGTCCTTGTGTCGCTGCGTGGTTGTCCAGCCTTCGCTTAAAGGCGTCCACAGATGGTGCCATAGCTACATCTGCCGGTAAGGAATTCCAGGGACGGCAAACCCGCAGGGAAAAGAAGTGGGAGCGCACCCGGGTCCTTGCCCTCTGATGAGCTATCCTTCTAGGATTTCCACGAGGGAGCCTATACCTACTCAATGGCAGAACACCTTTGTTTGGGTGATTCTGATCATTTGTTATTTTGTAGGCAGTAATTAAATCCCCCCTAAGACGACGGTAACTAAGTGTGAATAGGCCTAATTTCTTCAGCCTTTCATCATATGGTTTATTTCGGAGACCAACCACTCCTTTTGTTGCCCGTCGTTGGACTCTTTCCAAAAGGTTGGCGTCTCTTTTAAGCAGTGGGGGTGCAATGATATTATGCACTTCAAGATGCGGTCTGACGTATGTTTTATACAACCTTAGAAAGAGCTCAGGAGTGAGTGCACCTAATTGTCTATGTGTAAAGTGTATGACCGCATATTCCCTCGCTACATCCCCCGTGTAATTTACGCTTGTGTCCATTTTCTCCGTTAGAACTAGACCTAAGTCACGTTCCGACGTTGAGCAGGACAAGCTTTCATTGCACAGGGTGTAACTTGCATTCTGCAGTCTACAGGTGCGCAACTTCACTACTTTGCACTTTTTCAGGTTGAAAGTCATGCCACTGGCTACCGCCCAGTCTTCCAGAAGCCTTAGATCTGCCTGCAGTCTATCTGAGTCCTCCGGACACTTTATCGCCCTCCATATCTTCACGTCATCAGCGTATAGAAGAGTCGGGCAGCTTAGACGGCATGGTAAATCATTGATAAAAATCAAGAACATCAGTGGTCCCAGGATAGAACCCTGCGACACTCCTGATGACGAGCTGTGCCATGATGATCGAACTCGATTGACCTTGGTGCAAAATTGCCTTTCAGTTAGGTAGTCCTTCAACCATGACAGAAGTGGTTTACCTAACCCTACTTGGCTTATTTTGTGTAGGAGAAGGTCATGGTGAACAGTGTCAAATGCCTTCTCAAAGTCTAGAAAGATCACATGGACTGGAACATTCATATCCCAGCATAATGTCCAGTCCTCCCAAGCTGATAATAAGTTGGTGACGCAGGATCGCCCTTTCCTGAAACCGTGTTGGGCTTCATGGAGTATTTTAGACCTATCCAGATATTCCCTGATGTGATCATCAATAATACTTTCCAGTACTTTCGATACCACTGGGAGTAGAGCTACTGGTCTATAACTTGTGGGATTTTGCCTATCCCCACCCTTGAAGATCGGAGAAAGGATGCTTCTTTTCCATTCCTTTGGCAGTTTCCCTGATTCCATGGAGTGTTGGAACAAGTCGCAAAAGGCCTACAGAGAGCTTCGGCGCACTGTTTCAGAACAGATGGCCTGATGTCATCACAACCTGGGGACTTCCCAGGTATGAGTCGCTGCAGCTTTCTCAGTACTATTGCAGGGTTTATTTGGGGGGGTGGCTATTTGGTCTTCCTCCTGTGAAATAGTCATGCCACCATTTTGGTCCGTAACGGTAATACCCACATTGCTGTTTAGCTGTTTGGCGAAGGCTAAACTAAATGTTTCAGCCATCTCCAGACTAGTGAGATATTGACCGTTTTGGCCTACTAAGGCGCATGCCCCCTGGTTGGTTGGTTTCCTTTCCGACATGAATCGGTACAAATTCTTGGGGTTTGCCAGGAGTTTTTTAGCAAGGTTAGCCTGGAATGACCTCCTGTCCCTCCTGACTCTTGCATTGCACCGGTTCCTGAGTTCCAGGTATGCATCATGGTCGATCTGGCTTTTAGATACGCGCCACGTAAACCAAGCCTTCCGCTTTGCTTGCAGAATACGCTGCGTACCTCTCTTTAACCATGATGACTTTCTTTTGGACTGTGTTGTGACTAAAGGGACGGTATTCGAGATTACTGTATGAATAATCTTTTTTACCGCTTCCCAGTGTTCATCCACAGACAGCTCATCCCATGCTAAGGGCCAGTCTGCGTCGGACAAGAGCCTCCGCATTTCAGCATAGTCAGCCTTGCTGTAACACAGACATGGTTGCGTAGCGTCCCACTGCAAATGCTCACGGAGAACGAGGTCGAAACCTATGACTGCATGGTCACTACTTCCTAGAGGAGTCATGATCTGGACCTTTTCGACAAGAAGTTGGTCACTAGTCAGAATGTAGTCTAGTTTTGATGACTTTCCACTAGGGCCCCACCTAGTGTCGTCTCCAACGTTCTCAGTCAGTCCCGTGTTCCGAATAGCTTGCAGTAGATTTCGGCCGAATTTTCCCTTAGCATACCCCGAGCCAAGGTTCAGTGATGGGGCATTGAAATCTCCAGCAATGGTGATTTGGTCATAGCCCAAGTCTCGTATCCCTGTGATAGTGGTGAGCAGTAGCTGATTGTGCTCTGCCCCACATGTGGGAGATCGGTAGATGCCACCAAGTAAATGCTTGGTGTGGCCTACGGTGAAATGACACCATATGGAGTCTGGGAGTTCAATAAGTGGTGGGTCCGTTGCGCGCACACATTTAAGTTGTCTATCAAAGTATATGGCAACTCCCCCTCCTTCCTTATTATCCCTGTCTCTCCTGACTAAAACCATATCACCTATACTGATTTCATTATCGGCGATAGTGGGGGTTAGCCATGTTTCGGTGAGAATGATCATTTTCAGTTGTAGGTGTGCTTGGAGATTTCGGAGTTCACCTATTTTTCCTCTCAGCCCCCTCACATTGCTATATAGGCAGCTGACAGTGAGTCTTACAACCTCAGCGTGTTGCGGGGTAGTTGACGTGAAGCTGTCTGCTGGTAGGGGACTTAATGTTGGGACTAGTTCCGATGGAACCGGCCCGTTGTGGTTTTTCCCTTGGATTTAGGCAGGACACTTGGGTGGCACAGACTGTTATTCTCAGAACTGCATCGCTCTAGTGTCACTGAAGCTTGAGGACGTATTAAGGCCTCCGTTTGCTGCCTCCTTAGGGTTCGAGGTCTGCTTTCGCAGCATCGGATGTGTCCTCCCAATTTCCCCTTGATCTCATACCACCGTTGAAGTGCTATGGCCGACTGCTCTGGGGAGTTGAATGTGACACTTAGCAGCTTTGGGGAGCTAATCAGTGTGAGATGAGCAGGTCGAGGTAGTCGGTAAACGGAGATGGCTCCAGAAGCGCCAAGGGCCATCTGAGACGACAGCCATCTCCACTGCTGTACATCATGCATGTGTTTCTCACAGGCAGTACCCGTTTCCAGCTCCGGAACACCGTGTACCACCATAGAGGTAGAAGGCAAAAGTTCCGGTGACTCCCTCGCCATTTGTCTGACAGCCCATGGTCTGTCTTGTCTCACCCTTATGTTAGAGCTTCTGTCGATGGCTAGTACCTGAGCCATCAATAGTACCTACTCGGCCTCTTCGGCAGAGTCCAGTGTAACCCGTAATGGGGGTGGCTTACCTTGAGGTGTGTGGATACCCCTGTACAGCCTGCACAATTTCACTGAACTAATATTCAGACCTACTTTATTGCACAGGTTGGACCACTGTTCCTGACCAAACAGGGCCCGCTGTTCAAGCAAGCTGTCCTTGCTCACAGGTACGTTAAAGAATATAAGAGAATTAGACCGATTAACCTCAGACTTAGGTTTGGCCTTTGGCTTCTCGTATTCCTTTGCAGCATCAGCAACTTTAGGCTTCGTCGGGTTCTGGCCAGCCTTTATTGTGTTGCCGAGCTTGCTTGTGGATGCAAGTGGCGCTTCTCTAATTCTATCTTTCCTTGATTTTTTGGGTCCAACCTTTTGAATCTTCACCTTGTGAAAATTGGCATTTTCAGTCAGTAGGACTGGAGGGTCCTTCTTACTGTCTGTGCCAAGTTTTGGCAATGTGATGTTTGCAGGTGGGGAGCTACATAAGGCCGTGTTGGGACACAAGGGCGGCGTGTTGTTTCTGCTACCCGCAGACACGCTCCGTGTGACTATGCCAGGGCGACAGAGTGGACAGATGTACCAAAACCACGGGCATGGGTTATTTCTCATAAACTCGTAGTATGATTTCGGTACCTCTTTGTCGCAACGGCAGTGCACCCACCGTTTGCAAAAATTGCATTCGAACGCTGAGTCAGCTTTAGAAACAATGATATTGCACGCCTGGCATTCGTCTCCCTTACTTGGTGACGCCTTCGAGGTCTGATGACGTCTTGAGCGTTTCCTTTTAGGTTTGTTATACTTCACACATTGGCTTTCAGTTGGTGCAGGTGTAGTATCCTGTCCCCCTAGTATTGCCTGTGCCGTTTCAGTACTAGACTGTGGCAATGCAGGCATAGTATCAGGACAGACGAGTCCTACACGAGTCTTTAGGATGGGTATGCGACTTGGGGTTGGTGCCCCTGGGTTTTTGCCTTCTCTGGCTGAAGCCCTTGTGACTACAGAGTAAGGTGTTTTGGTGCCATTTCTAAGGTTACTTTCTACAGCCATATTAACTATCGCTAAAACTTATGCTGTATAAGAATAAGAGTACAACAGTATCTACCCACAAGAACAAGAATAAGACTGAAAAAGTACAAGACAAGGAAAAGAAAAGGTTTTCGACTTTACCTAGTACTTTCTGGATGATCGGCTTCACAGCAATCACGTGGTAGACCAACAAGTCTTGTTTATCTGAACGAGTGAGGAAGATGCTGCTATAAAAATAGCACCTGAAGCTTTGGCTGTAGTTCGAGACAGCTGGACTTACCACACAGAGATTCGATATGTAAGTAATGGTTGAATTTGATTCACCGGCTAAGGAGATCAGGTTTTCCAAGCGGATAATTCACAAAATAGGTATTTTCCGGTTAGAGAGGAAAAAGCACGTCGTATTCAAGGAGCGCGCGCTGGGTGAGTCAGTGAATATGACAAATCCAGCAGTAAAGTCTGTGTATAGGGTTTTGATATACGTAAAATATGAAAATGGAACAGTTTTTATGTGTTTCTGTATGTAAAAATCCACAGAACAAAAGTTGGTAATTTAAGAGCGGAATGTAGCGCTCCCGCCGTTTACCCGCGCTTGGTTGAATTTCTTCACTTTGACATTCAGAGCACTGGGCAGAAATCACACTGCGTCATAACCGGTCAGCGGACATCGCAATGCTTTGTTTTAATCAGACAGTCGGATTCCCCTGGTCCGTACCGGTTCTGAGTTAGCCGTCGCGCACCAAACAATGGAAGCACAGCTGCTTGACGCAACGCAGAGCACTTCCACGTGCGTTGTTAGCCATACAACACTAACAGCTGAAACCGCCCACGATCGATCGCGGTCAGAGTCCAGTAACTCCACAGCAGTGTGCATCAAAGCAGCAAAGAAACCAGCCTCCAACCGGACCGACACGTATCTGATCTCGGCATGTCTGACTCTGCCCCCAGAGCCAATCCTTCTCCCGAAGTTACGGATCCAATTTGCCGACATCCCTTACCTACATTATTCAATTGCCAGAGGCTGTTCAACTTGGAGACCTGCTGCGGATATGGGTATGGCCTGCCACGAAAATTATACTGTCTGGCTCGGATTTTCAAAGGCCGACAGGAGCGTTCCGGACACCACAAGAAGGGTGGTGCTTTACGGAGGCTAGCCCCCTATCTCCGGACAAGCCGATTCCAGGGTGTGGATGCACTCCTAACAAAGAAAAGAGAACTCTTCTCAGAACTCCCCCCGACGTCTCCGAGTTCGGTTGCGTTACCGCGCTGGGCACACACTGAATCAAAGATCCAACATGCACCAATCTCCGTGGACAAGGTCGATAATATTAACCCGATTCCCTTTCGCCACAGGAGGCTGCGTCGGAACAGTACTATAGCAGCAATACTAACAAAGCCCGCAAGCGGACAATGTCACGCACCCCGTCTCTGTTCCGATTTACCGGATCACTTAGGACCGCCTGACCCATGGCCAACTGCTGTTCCCATGGAACCCTTCTCCACTTCGGCCTTCAAGGTTCTCACTTGAATATTTGCTACTACCACCAAGATCTGAGCCTGAGGTTGCTCCACCTAGGCTTACGCCTGAGGCTTCCCACTAGCCACAGCGATCCTCCTACTCGTCGCCGCCACTCCATGCCTGGACCAAGTCAGTTTGCCCTCACCCTGCTTAGGCCCAGCTTGCAGCAACGGTACGGTATAGGTCCAACGCTCGAGCGCCATCTATTTTCAGGGCTGGTTGATTCGGCAGGTGAGTTGTTATACACTCCTTAGCGGTTTCCGACCTCCATGGCCACCGTCCTGCTGTCTGGACCAACCAACACCTTTGTGGTATCCCATGAGCGTCGCGTTAGGCATCTTAACCGCACAGCGCCAGTTCCGCTTACCAGAAATGGCCCACTTGGCACTCACATTCAATGCAAAACTCCATTTAAGCGAGTTAAGCTTCTCACCCACCTAAAGTGTGAGAATAGGTTGAGGATGTTTTCTCCCCCAATGCCTCTAATCATTCGCTTTACCGGATAAAACTGTTTATATCTCAGAATGCCAGCTATCCTGAGGGAAACTTCGGAGGGAACCAGCTACCAGATGGTTCGATTAGTCTTTCGCCCCTATACTCACGTTATACGATCGATTTGCACGTCAGAATCGCTACGGTCCTCCATCAGAGTTTCCTCTGGCTTCAACCTTCGCAAGCATAGTTCATCATCTTTCGGGTCTCAACATGTACGCTCTTGTCTTTTCACTGTTTCACTCGTTTTGTAAGTAACTGATATTCGTCACTCAAATTATTTGCACAACTGGTCAACATTCCACTGACAGACAGATGCACCGTTCATGCACGTCTTCCTAGAATATGTTGGAATGGCTAATAAAGGGTAATCGCTTACTTGAAGATATATGACAAATCAATACAATCATCACTCACGAATGACTTCCTCATCGATTTTCTCTTCCTCATTACTTGTATCATTCATTACCGCTTACCTAACCTTTTGATTACCTGGCAGAGTATAAACTTGCCGTAAAGAAAGACTGCTAAGCCTGTGTTCTCCCACCGTATCAATTCTCTTACCATACTTCTGCTTACAAGCCACCAAGACTGCTTCAAATTGCAACATTAAATCATATTTCAGTTATGTACATTTCTTCCATGAAATCCTGAGTGAGAATTTCTGATTGAACTGTGCATTATTTAAGCCAGTCGTCCGAGTTAGGTTTAAGCAAAATCAACCGGACAGGATGTGTTAAATACGCTACTGTAATACACGCAAATA